AAATTTTTCTGTGTCTGACTGTACTGATATTCTTTGAAGAAGATACTCTCTTCTTCTATGTTTGTGCACTGTTTAGCTTGACAGGGTCCCATCTCAGTGTGGGGCCATTGGGCACTGCTGCAAAACATCCGTGAAATAATTACAATGTGATTGGAGGATGACGTTGGCCACACTCAGGCTGGAAAGCACATTTTCAGGATAATTAATCATTGGAACAATTTACTAATAGCTATAATGGATTCTCCATAATTGGTAATATTTAGATGATTAGACATTTTTGTAAAATATCTACTGTAGTAGTTCAAACAGGAATTAATTGAGGGAAGCCCAGTGGCCAGTGTTATGCAAAAGTTCAGACAAGATGATCAGAATGGTTCTTCTGACCTTAAAATTCAGGGATGGGGAACATTTTTGGGTTGGAGGCTGTTGAACAACAGAAAAATCAGTTGGGGTCTGCACACGAGTGAGAAGTAAAAAAACAAAAAACAAAACAAATCCTCACTGACATGGCCTGTGACTGAGGAGAAAGAAACTCCCCACATTACCCTCACATGCCAGATCCCATGCTTGATTAGCATATTCCTGACCGGTCGCCATTTTTGGAAACTGACTAGCCCGAAGTAACTGCCCGCATCTATACGCGGCAGAGAAGCGGGATTCCGTGATAAATCCCTTAGTACGAAATAACTGTTAAACCTCATTCCACAAGAAGTAACAGTTAATTCGAACTAAGGGGTTTATCTCGGAATCCCGCTTCTCTGCCACAGTTAGACGTGGGCAGTTACTTCGGGCTAGTCAGTTTCCAAAATGGCGACCAGCCAGGAATATGCTAATCAAGCGTGGGATATTTAAAGCCCACGCTTCATTAGCAATTTTGGTCGCTCTCATTAGCCTCCCTAGTTCGAACTAGGGGGCTAATGTAGATGTACCCTAACTGTTATAGAGAGCCCCAAGAGACCTAGACAGAACAGGAATATGAAATTACAATATTTCAATCTAAGTTATCAGATAACCTTCCAAAAGAACTATTGTACTATATGCATAATCTTTAAAATTTCTAAATATGTGTATTTCTAAGTCTGTTCCTTTTTATAAATAGAGAAAATGCAGGATGTAAATATTCTCTATTGTGTTCACATTGGGTTCTCTTTTTCCGTAGCCAAACCCAAAGCATACTTCAAAAGCGATAGCCTCCCAGAAGACACTGATTGCATAACTTATATGAGTACATCTCAAAGTATACAGTATCCACTGTTTTTCTGTTTATGTATCAATACAGCCAAAGGAATGTGGTAACCCATCTCTAGCTCAGTTCTCCCTAATACTGTACATAGAATTGCAGCACAGGAGACAATTCCCAGGTCAGATTGTCTCCTGTGCAGGAAGTATCCACCTAAAGGACTAGAAATTCCATCAGGCTCCATAGCTTGCAGTTTTCCTTGGCATCATTCCCTGTGGGATAGTGGTAGGTATGACATGGTAGAGCAAACAGAGAGCTTTCCTTGTGCATTTGCTTCATAGTTTATAATAGCAACAATTTCTGAGTTGGGCTTTATCTGATTACTAATGATTGTCTAGGTTAAGACTCTGTACATCCTATCCTCAAATTGTGGGCATGGGGCTTTAGCTGATGAAAATCATTGTAGTGCTGTTGATTTCAACTATTGGATGAACTAGTCCAAGATATGTAACTGTATGGAAACACCTTTCTTGTCATCTGTTCTGGCATAGTTAAAAGTCATTATAGGCTTAATTCAGGCCTGGAGATATAAGGGAGGATGGAACAGACCCCTTGGAGTAGCCCCTGAGAAAGGGTGCTTGAAAGGGAGCTAGCAACATGCCAGGAGCCTGGAGATCTGCAGGTAGCTGTAATAACGGGGCAAGTTTGCTGCAGGGAATAATGGGGCAAGTTTGAACTGAACTTAGCTCCAGGAAGGAGAGTTGGGGCTTAAGTTTCAAGGAGAGAGAACTGTGAAATCAGGGGCCATCTGGGCAAAGCTGATGTGAAGTTTTAATGTGTGTAGGGTCTCAATAAATTGGACCTTGGAAGTAGAATGTTTTACCTCCCATTGGTGAGTTATTAAGGAGCCCACAAGAGAGAAGGAAGTGAGGGTATGTCTACACTACCCCGCTAGTTCGAACTAGCGGGGTAATGTATGCATACCGCACTTGCTAATGAAGCCCGGGAAATTCAAATCCCAGGCTTCATTAGCAAGTGCGGTATGCATACATTACCCTCCTAGTTCGAACTAGGAGGGTAATGTATGCATACCGCACTTGCTAATGAAGCCCGGGAAATTCAAATCCCAGGCTTCATTAGCAAGTGCGGTATGCATACATTACCCTCCTAGTTCGAACTAGGAGGGTAATGTATGCATACCGCACTTGCTAATGAAGCCCGGGAAATTCAAATCCCAGGCTTCATTAGCAAGTGCGGTATGCATACATTACCCTCCTAGTTCGAACTAGGAGGGTAGTGTAGACATACCCAAAGGGAGTGCTGAAGAGCTCCCTGAGGCTGTAATGGGTGCTTGGAAGGCAAATGTCGCCCTTTTATAGGGCCACAAATAAGGCTGGCTACAAGAACCACTCACATATGGAGAGAGGTAACCCTCCCCCAGCCCAAGCTTATCTTCTCTTCACTTCCCCCATGGTATTCAGCTCAGGCTTGGGTGGAAACCTCCAATGCCCTTCCTCCTGTAACCTTCTGATGAATTAGGAGGGGGGGCTAGAGAAAAGAAAGGAGGGAAGAGTCAGTAGAGAAGAGCAAAAAGTTGTCCAGAAGGAAAGCGGCAAAAAGATCAGATAGAAAAAAGGAGAGGTGGCAGCAACGGTCTGGGGTTGGGGGAACTCATTTCACAATCCATCCCCAGGAGAGGCTCTAACAAATACCCTACCAACATTATTACAAACTGTCAGCTCTGCTAAGCAGAACCTGGAGTCTGAAAGTCAAGCTCAGTTCTTTGTAGCCCAGTGATCACAATCATCATTAGTAAAGATTCTGTAATCAGAACTTGGTGAACAATTCTGCTGATGACATGCAAGACAGAAAAGATGTCATTTCATTCTTCTCTAGCTGTATGGGTTCTACAGTGTTTATGAGAATAAAAAAAGTATTATAAACTTAGGTTTATAAGAACTGTAGGCAGATATTACTAAGAATATTTCTTGTTGGGGCCTCTTTTCACTAGTTTAATTCCATTACTAAAAGATTAACCACATAAAAAGGAAGTAGATGGGTTGAACATGGTGGCAGCATTTTTTACAAAATCAGTTTCCTGATACAGAATGTACTAAAAGAAGCCTAAACCCATATATTCTGACTGAGACTTTCAAAACCAACTAGAGGAATTCTCCTTACAACTTCAAGAATAATAGCTGTGGACTGTACAGCTAAATTGCTTAGTCAGCTTTTAAAACCTCAACCTCTTTCTATAGCCATTTCCTACAAACCGCTTGCAATGTTTTGGTCAGCAGCAAAAGCAAACTTTAGCTAGCTGGTATTTTTCTTCTTGAGCTAGAACAAACATGTATTTTCTGTGGGGAAAAAAATCAAGACTGCCAATTTTACTGTTATATGTAAATTATTTTTATTCAAAACTGATTAAAAAACTAAACAACGCTTGCCTAACTACATGAGGTAGTACATGTAGTAAAACAAAGGATAGAAAATAATACTCTGAAATATGAATACCGATAAGTTTACTAGTTAAAAAGAGAAATAAATTCATCAGCAGAAACAAAAATACCAAAAATAAAGTTTAACAGCTTTTCAGTCTTAAAGCACAATACACTTTTCATAGAAAGAAACATAGTATCACCATTATATTTTCTTCATATACCATAATATGGTAAAATTAATGCACAAGGCTATTCACCATTAATGAATTAAAAGGAAATGGTGAAGCAATAAATGAGTTAATCATCATTAGGCTCCATATTGCTATACATCCTGGCCTGCAGGAGTATCTGCCAGGTTGTGAGAAATAAGGGGGATTTGCCTTGTTACCATTTCCTTAACAGTGCAGAGATTGTGTTGACTGCTCACCCTCAAATCTCCGTGTACTATATAGATATTTTGTACAGTATAAGGCCTGAAACTAGAAACTACTTATGCATGTAGTTAACTTTAATCCTATTAGGAAGCCCACTGAACTCAGTGAAACTAGTCACAGACTTAAAGTAAGACTTATGTGAGTTTGCAGAATCAGGAACTCAATCCTTTCAGTTTATTTCACCTTTTGGTGTGAAAGTGACTTTTGAGTGTCTGATTTTTTGAACTGAATGAGTTAGCAACATCCAATAATAGTATGTTAATTATCAAATTTAATTTAGAAAATACAAAAAATAGACCATTTTTTAAAAAAGAATGTTTATTAAAAACACACACAATTTAATGTGTGTCAGGATTTTCTGCATTTCCAGGTTTTTTTAAAAAATGATATTTGTCTAATCATTGCTGTGAAGTGTAAAACACTCCAGCTCTTCTTTTGGGATAGTTAATACTAGAGTAAGTCATAAAAAGCGTTATATTTCTGACTTACAGACATGATTTATTGTATAATTCATTGAGATGGCAATTTTTTAAACATCAATTGGATATAAAATCTCTGATATATCCATGGTGGAGTTTTAAAGTTATTGTTAGTGGCATACATAAAGCATCGGAAAATAATGTATTCAGATAAAAATGTAGAACATTTATGAGATTTGAATTAACTGCATAGGAATAACTGCTAAGAAAATATAGCAATATTTAACACAGGATTCAAAAAAATGTTAATCATTGTAGTTTTTCAAATTCATTTTCTCCCATGTTTAATTTTACACATTTTTCTCTAAGATTTACATGCAGCTGAAAGTCTTTTGGTGGAAATAGCTGTTATCTTCTGTACAATAACGTTACAGCTTTATACAACCTTTAGGAAATATACTAAGTGACCTTTATTATTCTCTTCCAAGTGCTCTGGTTTCTGTTTATTCCGTGGTGTTTTTTTTTTAAACACATATGTAATTGGACTCACACGACGGCAAATATTCTGAAAGCCTTGCCTCCTGGAGGATTCTGTAAACTGCAAAATAAAACAATTCCAGAGATTATTGATAAGACCACAGCACTCCAAAGCACTCTTAGAAAATGATGCAAGCTCTCTGAGTGCAAAACTCTTATTGACTGAAGTCTTCAGAACTGATCTTGCAAATTATTTTATGCAGGGGAAATGTTGGTACCTGTGCCACTGAGGCTATGTCTAGACTACAGTAATTCCTCATTTAACACTACAGATATGTTTGAGAAAATGATTGTGTTAAGTGAAAACGTGTTATACGGGGTCAACTTTCCCACTGAAAATAATGGAAAAGGTGGGGGTTGCGTTTCAAGCGGTAGTGTCTGTTGGGACCGGGACATAAGGTTGGGGGAGAAAGCAGACTGGGTTACAGCAGGGAGGGGAGGTGTTTGGCTCTGGGAAAGGAAGGAGAGGGGAGGGGAGGGGGATTTAGTTGGGAGTATGCCCCTGTGATGGGTCTGTCAAGACCCGCACTGCGTCCGGCGAGGGGGGTGGGTTGCCGGGGAACGGTGCGGCGAGCGGAGAACCCTCCGCTGCTTTGCAGGGAGGCGGGGGAAGCCCTGCGCAGCTGCTGGTGATGGGCCGGCTGGATAAGCCCAGCCACTGGCATGTAAGCGGGGGCGGAGGAGAGGTGGCAAGGCGTCCGGTGAGGGGGAGTCAGCGGGGAATGGCGTGGTGAGCGGAGAACCCTCCACCGCTTTGCGGGGAGACGGGGGAAGCCCCACATAGCCACTGGCAACGGGCCACCTGGAGGAACTCAGCTGCTGGCCTGCAAGCAGGGGTGGAGGAGAGGTGGCAAGGCGTCCGGTGAGGGGGAGTCAGCGGGGAATGGCGTGGTGAGCGGAGAACCCTCCACCGCTTTGCGGGGAGACGGGGGAAGCCCCACATAGCCACTGGCAACGGGCCACCTGGAGGAACTCAGCTGCTGGCCTGCAAGCAGGGGTGGAGGAGAGAGGGCAAGGCGTCCGGTGAGGGGAAGTCAGCGGGGAACAGCGCGGCGAGCAGCAAACCCTCCGCCACTCTGCAGGGAGGAAAATATGGCCAGAATCGCCACTCATGGAAGGAGGAAGACAAGGCTTCCCAAAGAGCGTGTACGCTCTTCTGCAAAAAAAGCATAAGAACAGACATGTTCCCTGGACACAGTAGAGTTTTTCCAGGATCCCCGAAAAACCCCATAGTCTAGACATAGCCTGAGGTCATAGCAGATTCTGGCCATATTTTGCTATATGACATTTTGCAAGTAGGTTTTTGAGAATCCTGAGAAAAGACTACTTCTGTTCTTCTTGAAGTTAATTACAAAATTGCTATATAATCCTGCCATTCATTTGAATAGGGAAAGGATTGGGTAACTTCACCAGAACAAAAGAACTTTCTGACAAAAATAATCTCCAAGAACAGTTCTATCACTGGTGCTCTTTACTTCAAAATAAATGCTTATTAACAGAACAATTAAGTGAATACTAATATTTAGGGAAAGCCTAGAACGTGTATGATTTCTAGTCAATTATTTCAGAACCTGAGGGTACAACTTACGGAATTAATGCTGTTTTGTAAACATCAGTGAGAGCAGAGCGGCTTAATTTTTCTGTTCTTTTATCCACACAACTGAACAGTGTCAAGGTTCTTTAGGGCAAATGGCAGGAAACAGTCTCCTGAATCAGAAGGCACATTGGAGCCATCATCTTGGCTTCTTTTCATGTGAAACTGGTAGCTGTGCCACTGCTATATACTCTTTGAAACGTTATCCCCTCTCACCAGGGGATATGGATCAGCAATGAAGGCTCTTCTATGTTGTTGAATAGCTGTTGCATCATACACATGGACCACATAACTGATATCTTTTTATTTAAATAAATAGTTTGGGCTGCAAGGGGTTAATAGTGCCCAAATCACATTTTTTTCTACACACATAAAATCCAGGCAACTAACTGGGGCACAATTTTTCAGATCTACTGTTTATTCACTGTAAAGGAACTTTGGTTGACCCAAAAATGTCACTAATTTGACAAATTCACAAAATAGTTTTGGGCAAAATTATTTTGTGGGACAAGATTGGTACCATTCATATAATTAGCAGGGAGGTAGAACCCATTTTATAGCCCAGTGGTTAGGGCACTTAGCTTGGCTGTGGGAGACATGAATTCAATCACACAGCAGGGAAGGGTTTTGAACGTAGGTCTCCCACATACCAAATAACTGGTATTACTGAGTTTCAGAGGGGTAGCTGAGTTAGTCTGCGCAGGATAAACTTAAAAAACAACAAATAGTCTGATGGCACTTTAAAAACTAAAAAAACAGGTAGATGGTATCATGAGCTTTTGTTGGCAGAGCCCACTTCTTCAGATGACTGGAGTGTATCTTTCAGAAAAAGTTTTTTTTGCGCAAAAAAAAAAAATGTCCGCGCTGCTTCTTTTTATGCAAAAACCCCAGCGCAAAAACGGATTGGCAGAAAATATGCAAATGAGATTGTGACTCATGCAAATGAGTCCCATGTTTGCACATATTTTGCTGAGAAAACTCGTAGTGTAGACATAGCCTAAGGGTGTCTACACTGCAACACTATTTTGGAATACAGTAGAGTCCCTATCATCCGACCTAAATGGGACCGACACATGGTCGGATTACCAAATATGTCGGATGATACAGACTACTGTAGAGAGCAACGGAACAGCTGATGCCGCTCCTGCCGGGGATGAAGTCCCCGCAGAGCAGCATCAGCTGTTCCGTTGATCTCTAAGAGAAGCTGGGCAGGAGAGCCTCCGGCCGGCAGCGCCAGCAGCAGCTTCTCCTAGAGAGCGACGGGGCAGCAAGAGGGGCCGTTCTCTCGGCCCGCGCTGTATCCGAGCCTGCAGCTCCCAGGAACAAAGTCCCCAGGAGCTGCAGGGTCGGATAAAGTGGAGTGTCGGATTACCGGGTGTTGGTTAATCCAGACTCCACTGTAACTAGCACTATTCCTAAATAACTTAGTCCATGTCTACAGAGAAGGCAGTTATTTCAAAATAGTGTCAAAATACTGTCAAGCTGAAGGACTTCTTACTCTGACTCCTGTAACCATCAACATATGAAGAATAAGGGAAGTCAGAGGAAGAGTGCTCTATTCTGTTACAAGCTCCCAAGCCCTGTCCCTTCCCGCCATTGCCTTGCCCTCTCCCACTCCATGGCAGCCCAGCTCTGAGGACACAATTTCAGGGATCATGAGGGGAGGGGCCTGGCACCATATTCAGAAGCAACAGTGTCCCCTGCACTCCCCACAGAAGCACGAGCCATGGGAAAGTGGAGCACAGTGAACAGGGGAGGGAAGATGAGGCTGTGGTGGGAAGGGAGGACTTGGGGGGCCAATAACTGACAGGCCTCCCCCCCAAATTGCACAATCACTGTGGCCATGGAGTTTGAAAGCCCTGCACTAGAGCCTGGAAAAATATTTCAGAGATTTAAATTAACTAAAATATGCAGACAATGTTATCACAGAAGGTACATAATGGTACCATATAATAAGTGATTTTAAAGACTAAGATACACACTTGTGCATATGTTAATTATAGGTTATTCTGTTGCCTGTATCACTTGTAGGAATATGTTCCTTGATACAAAGTTATGTAAAGTACTGGCCATCCAAACCTCACTCAACTAGACTGAATGAATCACTAATCTAAAAAATGCAAAAGGAGGCAAAAGCAGTTTTCTTAGCAAACATTGCATTATTTGCCACAGGATCAATAAACAAGAGAGTTGTTGATTTATAAGCCGCTTTTTAGGGTTATGATTTATGTGCTTAGAGGAGACAGGCAGTTCTGGTACCGCAGCTTCTCCAATCATTGGAACTCTTACACAACCCTGTAAATCATCCATGTTAGCCTATTTATTTAGCTTTCAAACACACACACTTAAACTCACCACACACAGAGACATAGTGCAAGAAACTGAAAATGATGACAGGCATTTCTTAGGAGAAAGAAGAACAACAGTCTTTTAAACTGAACTTTTTACCTTTCTGAAAATATTCCATTCTGAAAAGAGGCAATGTACACCTTCCTTTTATCTACTGGCATAACATCAACATAGCCTCCTTGGTTGCGAACTACTCCAGCATGTACGGCTGCCCGGCAGATACTAGACATCTGAGAAAAGAGCAAAAGAGATTTTGTTTGCAATTAGTTCTATTATGTTTTTCATTCACTTGTAGAATTAGATTTAAAAATAATAAGGAAGCATATCCATGACATATTTTCTAATAAATTAAAATTACTCCTTGGTATCATTGAAATAAATTCCACAGGAACTCGACTGGCCAGCAATGCATCTTCTCCTCAAGTAGGAAGCAAGCCACATTAGCTTTGTTGAAAGAATGAAGTATTGTTTGCTGAACGTCTGGAAAGTCACCAGCTTACAGACATTAAGCGCCAAGAGAAAAGAGAACAATTTCCATACTCCTGAAGCCCTCACAGACATGTCCTGTCAGCCTCCCCCTCACATTTTTTTAATGAGAAGAATCCAGCTCTACTGTCCTTGCTAACTGAAGCTGTGCCAAAGTCGCCACTCAGAGAGTGCACTCTCAATAAGAATGAATGGTTGTACCATAAAAGACAGCAAGAGAGGTGGTCCCTCTAGTAGCTGGTTCCAGAGCTTTAAAGTTCATAACCAAAACCATAAACTTCACCCAGAGATCAATGAACAGCTAACTTCCCAGCAAGATGTCTCATTCAGGAAATGCTGGCTTTGATCCCCAAATGTTTAAGATGTAGCCCTACTTAGAGTGTGTTGCAATAGTCTAAATGTTGAGAGGTAACAAAAGCCTGGAGAGCAGAGCTAAGGCCTGCATCTGAAATCACTCCCAAATTACAAACACTAATAACTAGTGACAGACATACTCCTTCCATCAAAGTGGACAATATTCCCTCTGCGTCCCCTCTTGTGTCCCCTTTTCTCAAACTACCATCATCACCTTGGTCTTGCCTACGTTCAGCTTCAGTGTGCTCTCATGCATGCCCAAATCTCAACTAGACATTGGCTGAGGACTGGCTGAGGACATTGGCTGAACTATATCATCTGAATCAGATGATCTAGAGATGTAGAGTTGGGTGTATCTGCACATTGAAAACTTTTAATGAGATGCCTCATCGGTATCCTTCCTACCAGCTCCATATTTACAGAAATGGAAGGGTACTCTGCACTTGAGAACTCTTTGGGAAGAGGAGTAATTGCCAACAGCTACCTGTAGAGAACTCCCTGAGAAGAAAAGAACAATGTCAATGAAGATCAGCTCTATTCATAAGATTGACAGGTGAGTTAACAGCACTTCATGATCAATGGTACACAATAATTCATAGCCATTTACATCTACATCCTGATGTTTTGCCAATTCCAGGACATACATAGATTAATGAAGGACCGATGAAGGGGAATCTATGTGGTGTTTTGCAGGAGGAAGCTGCAACCATCACTACATGGGTTTCCCTTCATCAGTCCTGCATTTTGCTTTAATATCCCTAAGGGATATGAAACAGGATAAAGCTGAAGGATCAGATATGTTCAACTAAGAATTAAATGTATGCAATTAGACCCATAGCCGCAAAGGCCACCTAATGTGCATCCACAACATCCTGTATTTGTCCCTACATCGCATTTGCACAGACTTATAACAACCTAGGAAGAGTTACTCCTCCAAGCCTGTTTGAGAAATATCACTGAGTACACTTCAGTGTTTACTCAAAAGTTGCAATCTTGTCTGCTGTTGTTTCTATCTTGAGCTCCGAATTCCTCATACTGTTTTATAACAAGACTTGCCCATAATATTCATAGTTGGACCTGAACTACCCACATGGCTTTATGCAAAGAAAGTTCGGACAGTACATTACTAAAAACCTTGTGTCACGGGGAACCAATCCTGCAATTCTTACATAGGTAAAGTACTCAGTGAAGTCTTTCTAATATTCACAGAACTAGGCCCTTAATGCACTCATGAAACTGTCCTACTCTGATTATTTACATACTTATTATTTGAAATAAAGTGTACACAAGAGTAGTCAATTACTCAGGAAAAGAACTGGTAAACTCTCTTTTTAATTACTTAAACTTTTAATAACTTAATAATATTTTCAGTGAACTGCAGATACACTGAAACTCCATTTATATTGTAGAAGATAAATCCTTATTAGTTTCAATGCACAACACTATGCAATTTGAACTTCCAAGTTCAGGGAATCACCATGCATAACCAAGCTGTTTTGAGAAGATAAAAAATGTCTTCACTGTAAGAGGATTCCACTGAATCAACATTAAAACTTAACCAGTAAAAACATCAATATTGGTCATCCAGACCATTGTTTAAACAAGGTTGCATTTCCTTCCAGCTATAACTGGAATAACATATATCTGTAACTATAGTTATTTTGTAATCTAAATGCTATATAAAAATACAGGAATTCAAAATAGCAATTATTTTCCAATTCCTATTCCAATGAGTGAAATTACCAGTTTCACTGTTATATAGTCAGTCCATTAATGTCACAATATTTCTGAGGATATAACTTTGACACAGTTTATTCAAAGGCCCTATTAAGCTTTCCAACTCAGAATGATTGATTGCATCTCTTAAATAAGCCAGAGAGTATACAGTTTATATCAATCAGTACCTTTCTTTGCTTCCTCTTCATAATTATCTCAGGAGCTTGTTGTAGTCTTAACTGGGCAGCCAGTGATCAAGAGACTAATTTAATTTACTAGGGCTGTTGCTGTTTCTAAATATTAATATTATGGTAGTGGCCAAAGACCCTAGTCACTACTGTGCTGGGCATTATACAAACACAGGAGAGACAATCCCTGTACTGAAGGATTTACAATCTAAAAATACAAAGGAAGGGTAGGGGATGTGGATGCAATGTACCAGCAAATGAGTGGATGATTGACTCAGTTAGTTATATCTATTACAGAGAGGTCATTTCCCTGTTTGTTTTTAATTGGCATTAGAGAAAGTGAGGAAGAGAGCAGGAAAAGGAAAGGAGAGGAAGAGGAAAGGCCACAGCTTTTCCGTGTTTAACCATGACAAGCAGGCCAGATTTTGTAGGCATCATGGCAGAGGTGAATGCTCCAGAAGGATCTGGAGGAAGATAATCATTGCTTGGATTTATCAGTGTGTTTTTCCCTAATCAAAACGAAGAATGTGGGAGAAATCATGACAATGCTTAAGGGAGAAGCTGACAAGTGAATGTTAGAGTGGGATGAGGAAGACAATGGGATACTCAAAGCAGAGGTTAATGTGGTTAGGATAATGAGCCAAGAAGATAACACCAGCATTCTGAATAGATTTGAGGGTTGCAAATTTGCAGTAGTGAAGGCTTGAAAATAGAAGGTTGCAGTAGTGAAGACATGAGAAGAGAGTGTGGATGAGGAGATTAGGAACCATGATGTCCTGGTCCTGCTTCATGGACTGATGCAAGGGGTGAGAGCATGGGAAAAATTTATGAAGTTTTCTAAAGGAAGTGCAATCTAATTCTGGCCGTCAGCCAGAAAAAAAATTATTTTAAATAGAGGGACGGTTCTTATTTTGAAGTGCCAGATCATTTAACATTTTGCCCAGACTTTCTTGGATAACATTTTGGGTGAATTCCTGGCTGTATGAAAGTCAATGGCAACACTCCCATTGATACCAATGGGGGCAGGACTTCACCCCCACAGGTTTATTTTGTTTCTAAATATTATTTATAAATCATTTTATTGGCAGTCTTAAAGACCTATCTCTTCCTGGAATTCTCCATCAGTAATTTTGGGCTGTTTTAGTTCAGAAGTTCTCTCAAGCCAAAACAAAAGTAAAGCAACATAATGCATTATTTACAGTAACATAAACAGTCTATATAACACTACATGACCTTGCTTTTTTGGTACACTGTGAACTCTCTGGCATTCATCAGTATTTAACAGGTCATAGAATCTGAATACCAAGCTGCTTAATAATTTTCCTTCTTTTGCTTTTGAGAGTAAACACCGCTAAAAAGTTCTGTGGCATAATATTACAATGCCAGAAATAAGGCCCTGAGCCTTAGATAATAGGAATGAGGAAGCTGAAAACCTGGACTTCCGGTTTCCATGAGAGGAAGGCAGAAAACTGTTGGGTGGTCTGTCAAAAAGATAAAAAATTGCCCTTTGGAAAGATCTGGAGTATGGACAGGCCCCTAGCAAAGTGAGTTATTTGTACAGTCTGTTGTGAGAGTAGCATATACTATATTTATTATCTACATTATGATAATACCCTGAGGTCCTATTTGACATAGAACCTCACCATCTTAGTACCGTACATATGCAAAGTGAGAATAACTCCCTGTCTCAAAGCACTTACAATTTTCTTTAAGATAAGACAAAACACGAAGGTGCAACAAACCAGTGGAGAGTGCAAGGGAAAGGAGGATGAGCAACAATGACAGAAACACGCATGTGGATACGAACACAGTGTACACAACTATATGGCTCTGTGTTAATCTGTGGGAAAAGCTGACAAATAAACCAGTATAGCTAGCAGAGCAAAGCATAATGTGATAACTAGCAATCTCACTAAGATTAGGGGCAGTCACTGTAACCTCAGAGCTTAGTGGAAATGCTGTATAGCAAAAATTTTATGGGCAGCATGGACTATTCAGAGCTAAACCTGTTTAGATGCAGGGAGAAGGGAACAGAACCAAAATTTTCTAAATCAATTTAAGAATTAAACATGTTGCTCAACCTTCTAGCCTAGATAGCGTAAAATAAAGTGTTAAGAGCTTAGTGAATGCTGCAAAAATAGGTTTGCAAATATCTTAAATAAAAAAAAGCAAATTTGCTTCAATGGCATCTCTCAACTTTTATTTCCTTTGCACAATGGATGCATTTTTCCAAGCAACATGGCTACAAATATTTCTGTATAACACGGATGAATGTTGAGAAAATGAATTGTTTAAAAGCAGAATTCTTAGGAGACTAATTAGTGGCTATTTGGAACTACTTCTGTGCAATGCATTCAGGATTTGGCCTTATCAGATCAATGGAATTTCTTGCTTGAATAAGGTGAGTAGAAATTAGTATTTATGCTCTAACAGGAAAATCTGTTCTAATTAATCTTGCCCACAGGGTTGTGTCTCCAGATCATTAC